ATCAAAATAAGATTTGGTAAATAAAAACCCCAAATTAGATAGATGAAAAATTACATGAATTACAGGCATCCTGAAAAATTCCTTGGATATATTTGAAGGATGATGTTTCTCTCATACCCAAGGAATTTTTCATGGTCTATAATAAAAAGAAAAATATGCTGTACTTCTACTGTCTTCTCACACACTATTTTTAAACAAACTAGGCATCCTGTAATTCATGTAATATTTACTGAACTCCTACTGTTCATGGCTTTATTTATTTAAACACAGTTTTTGACCACTACATTAAATTCCCATGGCTACTGGAACAACTTTCCACAAGGTTGATAACTTAAAAAATACACATTTGTTTTCTTGTAGTTCTGGATGTTGGAAGTCTGAAATCAGTTTCATCGGGCTGAAATCAAGGTGTTGCTATGGTGACTCTTCAGTAGGAGGCTTAGGGAAAAATCTGTTTTCTTGCCTTTTCTAGTTACTAACACTATACTCCTTGCATTCCTTTACTTGTGGCCCCTTCTCCAATCTTCACAGCCAGCAACACAGTATTTTGCTTCGGTAGTTACACTGCTTTCTTTGTCAAATCTCCCTCAGTGTGCCTGTTATAAATAAGGACACTTCTGGTGATAGCTACAGCCCACCCAGATATTTCTCATCTCAAGATCTTTAATCACATCTGCAAAGTCCCCTTGGCCCTATAACATTTACAGATTCAGGAGATTAGGACCCAGAAATCTTTGGGGGCCATTATTCTTCCTACTGCAAGTAGCATTACAGCACATTCTACTATGCGCTGAATGTAGGAGGCCTAGCAGTGAATCAGGCATTTTTCTATCTGCCCATGGACTTGACATTATGGCAGGAGAAGAGATGTACAAGGAACAGACTTGTTTTTTAATTGGATTCTCTAACAGGGGAATGTTTTAGCATAGAATAAATGCATGCTTTTTTCTTTTTTTTAGCAAGAAAAATTGCCAGCAATTTCTTAGAATCAGCAGACATGGAAAATCACCTTGCAGCAGATATTGTTGAGAAGAATTACTTGTGGTCTCTCTTATATAAATAGAGAATGAGAAGGCTCATCTATCTTAGGAAATAAGTCTTTTTTCTTCTTCTTGTAACTTTGCATACTGCTTTTTTTTTTTTTTTTTAATGTCAGTAAAGGATAGTGTTATGGCAGTAGAAAGGTTAGGTTAATTTGGTTAAGAGATCTCAGGTATCTTGAAAAGGTAGAAACCCAGACACTTATGCCTTAGAAAACGACCCTGTAAAACCTGGATTTTAAGTGATAGAAGATTTGGGTCTTGGCTGATTAGGGTATGAAACTAATGCTTGATCAGAATACATGAAGTTTCCTTCTTGCAAAACTCTGAGAGGCTCTGTACCAAACTGTGGAGTAGTTTCCTCACTCAGGAAGTGCTACGCCTCCCTGCTGGCCCAGTTTTTATCAACAGAGATACATCTGTTTCAACCACCACTATGCCTGTGAGTGGAATAGGGTTTCCCTCAGAAGAGATGACCCATACTCACTATTGGTATATTCATATTTAGCAACACCAATCAACCCTAGGTGAACATACTGCCACCCCTGGAACTCCCATCTCCATCACTCAGAAGTGCCATGACCTGGGCAAGTGCTTGAATCAGAGATGAAAAGAGCTTTTGTTAAAGGAAGTTGGCTGGTTTAGTTAATGTTTTAGTCTGTTTGTGGCTGCTATAACAAAATATCATAGACCATATGGTTTGTAAGCACCAAACATTATTTCTCACGGTTCTGGAGGCTGGAAGTCCAAGCCTAGGGTGACAGCATGGTCAAGTGAGGTCCATTTCTAGGTCTAAATTTCTTGTTTTGTCCTCACATGAAAGAAAGGGGTGGGAGATCTCTCTGGAGCCTCTTCTATAAGGGCACTAATCCCATTCCCAAGGACTCTACTCTCATGACATAATCACCTCCCAAAGTATCTTCTAATACTATCGCCTTGGTAGTTTGGTTTTAACATAAGGATTTTGGAGAGACACAAACATTGGACCATAGCAGCTGTGAATTACCTACACTGAATTTAATCCTGAGGTGTGAGTCAATCCTAGAAGAGCCTCTACCAATGGGTATCCTAGCCCCTGTTGCCACTACATTACCAGGGAATTTACAGTTTTGAGTTTGAAACATTTACCTGCCTTGGCCAGCTGCTTCTTTCAAATAAGTCACAATTTGTGAATTTATGTAGGATGAAGTGAGATTGCATTCTTTGCAGTCAAGATGCTGGTATATGGTGAAAGGTTAAGAGTTATTAGAGGGTTGAGTAATAGTTTGGATCTCTGAATTGTTTGCTGCTATCAGCTGGTGGAAGCTTTGGTGTTCTAACCAAAGGACTTTTTAGAGATATAGTCTTTGCCTCCCAAACTGTATCAATATCCTAGATACACTTCATAAAGTGATATATGCTATAAAGAATGGAACAATTTAATTAATGACGAAATCGTTGCTACATTTCATATTGATCCTATGAATGTAACAGGAATTAAAAAAATGGAATAGTCAGTATGTAACTCAGTAGCCATGGAGAAGGTAGAATTGACATGGACATGGAAAACTAGTGTACTGGATAATTGAACTTTTGTTTTGCGATTTACTTTGTTTGTTTGGCTATTTAAAATCCAAAAATCCTTCTGTTTTTAGAGGAATACTATATCCTACGTATTGGAGTTGTCTAATGTACTAGTCTTCACTTCCATGCCGTATTCTATAAACTTAACAAAAATCTATTTGTGTTTTAGTTGCTAGATTCAGTTTCTATTGCTTGCAAAAAAAAAAAAAAAAAAAGACCTCTGACTAATAATGCAAGTGGAGGGATTATGGACAGGAACTGGGAAGATATCTCAGGTAAATGGAATGATGGGGTGGAGGCGAACGTGGGTAAAAGGCCACGCTTCTAAGACTCCCTTGCAGCTGGGCATGGATAAGTGACTGCATTCAGTCACATGAAAGCATAACTTGTTGGATGGTGCTTCCCAGAAAATTCCCTTAACAAGTAGCTGGAGGAGCCATCCTTGCTCTTTCCAACATTCCCTGCCGCTGCCTTCCTTCTACTTCTTGACTGGGTTTCAGGCAAGATGACTAGAGCATAGCAGCCATCTTGAACTATATGACAGGTGTGAGAATGACAGCTAGAATATTAAGTGAGGATGGAAGCCAGCAATAACAATGATGGTGCAAAAATAAATAAGTCAAAAAGAGGAGCCTGATTCATTACAACTGTAGAGTCATGAGCCCTGGATTCCTTTTAAAAAGAGATGAGCAAAGGTTTGTCTTATTTACACAACTGTTTGAGCAACTATTTGAGCATTCTGTTTTACATAACTAAAGCTAATCCTAACTGACATACCTCCTCATACACTATTATTTTGTATATGTCTGAGGTTCATTGAAATGGAGACCGAAAAGGATGGCTATAGGTATAAAAGTCTGCATCACTTGGGAAATAAGGAGAAAGATCTTTATTGCTAATGGCAAAAGAGAAATGGGTGCTGCTTTTCGATTAGCAGGATAGAAAAGGATCAACCCCAAGAATCTTGTAGGGTGGAGACTATTATAATAATAAATGGTAATTAGGAGAAACAAAAGGCTACTATTAGTTTTATGTGTTAGGATAGTTCTCAACAAAAATTTAATAAGCAAGAGAGAAGTATTTAAACTTTAAAACAAGAATTTGATAAGCAAGAGAGAAGTATTTAAACTTTAAAAATACGTAAAGATTATGTAAAATATAAATTTCAAAAGCAAATATCCCCTTTAAAAATGAGTCCAAAATTGACCACAGGCATTTCACAGAAACACAGGTAGTCACTAAGCATATATAAAGATATACAACCCCATTAGCAAGGGGAAAAAGCAAATTAAAAGATGCTATTTCCAGGCAAAGTATTAGTAGGTTTTATGGATAATCATGCTCCAGTCTAGTCTATATGAAATAGATTTATGTTTAGATGAATCTCAAAATCTGAAGGTGTTAGTGAAAAAAGAAGAGAGGAAAAATGCAGTATGATTCATTATATAAAATACAACATCAGGATGACTATAGTTTTATGGAATCATATGTATGTATTGTTTTCAATAAAAGCAAGAAATGAGTAATACAAAATTAAGCATAGTAATTTCTGGGTGAGAGGGAAAGATATGCTAGGAGAGGCCTTCCTGGAAGGCTTCAAAAATACCGGTAATTTTCTGTATCTTCAGTTCTGCAGTGGTACCTGGATATTCTTTTTATTATTATTTTTTTATATGTGCAAATATGGGATAAATTTATACATGTATATTTCACAATTAAAATTTGTTTTAAAAATTCAGTGAGATTATAAGGAGAGCCCTTAATTGCACACATCAGTAAATTCTAAACTGTGAGTCAGGATTTCCTTGTTACTATGTAACCGAAATAGAGAATTCTCTTGGCTTCTGATGTAAGATGAAAAGCTTCAGCTGTAACGGCTATTTCAAAAGTTCTTGTTCGCACCTGTCTCATTGTTTTCAATTATTTCTGTAAGTATTCTAGTATAAAGGTGATTCTACAAAATACTTTTGCAAATCGAAAGTGTCACTTCTGTCTGTCTATTTTGGCCTTCCAAGTAAAGTTACATTTAAAAAAAAAAAAGGCAAAACGGTTCCTCAATTTAAAGTTTGAAAACAACCAGCGTACTTGAGTTAAATATAATTTTTCAACGCCTCATATCAAAAACGGCTGTCCGTTTTCCAGCGGAACCTAGACGACTAGTTTTAAAGAGCGGGGTGGGTTATCTCCTTGGAGAAAGAAGATGGAAATCCAGCCCCACTCTACTGCGCCCCTTTTCTCCACTAGTACAGGACATCTGGAAAAGCTCTCCCCTCCTTCATACACGCCCCTCCCGATTCTCACCTACGGGCGGGTCCCGTGCCCCGGGAGCCAGAGCCCCGCCCCCAGGGAGCCCCGCCCCCAGGAAGCCCCGCCCCCGG